CCACGGGCAGCCCGTGCGTTGGCCAATTTTTTTTTTAAGTGTTCGATGCAGTCGGTCAAGGATCAACAGGCCGGACAAGAGAGATTTTAGCTTTGGACTGGCCATATTTAGGAGCTATCGCAGGAGTCCCTCTGGTAACCCAAACGATCTTGGTTTTCCTGATATTATTAAATTCTTCACTTTCAGCTGAACATCTTCATCATCAGAGTGTTGGGCATGTCCACCAGAGGCATGAAGCATCTGCAGTTCCACAGTCGGCATCATCCAAAAACTGGCGAAGAAGAGAGTGTGCTGCAGCTTTCGGCCAGTGATGTCCATCTTGGTAAAGTAATCGCGAAAAGTGGCATGGTTTACGGAAGCGCAGGGAAAGACTTGGTCATTGAAGGCTCACGGGTAGCAGTTCTCTTGAGAGATGCTGTTTGCAGCTGCAAATGCAAACGTTCCTTTTTCAATTGTTCTACTAGTCCCATCCCAGAAAAGCAAAGTTTCACACCAGTATTTTGACCGGTCTTGCCGGATACATCCAGACCGGCCACATATTTAGTTATGTCTACCAAGGCATTGCTTCACGCATAATGCAATTTCCAAACGACTTTCGGTTTTGAGTTGTGTACCTTCAGTAGTACCTGCGATCTGTTTGTAATATTTGTATTACCTCTTTGTAGTCCAACAGAATAGTCGTTTACTTTCTCGCGAAACCACTCACTAATGCGTAACGTGCGCCGGTTATACACTGCAGTCAGCTTGTACCGCTAATCGGATTTTACTTTCTTCTGTGGTCGCAGTAATATCCTGCACGCCACTCATTTGAAAGAGAGTCTAGCTGCCAGTATTTGCGTGCAGAGACACTTCAAGCAGCTGAAATCTTTCCCCAGTTAAAAATAGTAAAATAAGAGATAAGAAATTGCACTAAGTGTCATATGTAAGGGGAAATATTCGGTTGCAACTTGTCTTTTCATCTCTCAACTGTAAGCACAGACTGAAATTTGTTGGCGCGTAGGAGCGGAAATCATCCGAACAGCCCCTACCCGCCACGTGCTGAGCATTCATTTGCTTAATTTATATCACTTGTGCGTGGTTAACAAAATATGCTAACCTTAGGCTTGTGCTCAATTTGATAAGCTTTCCTGAAAATATTTTGATTTCGAAAAACTGTCAGTCCCGTTTGGCGCTGTGATATCGAAATAATTGACTCTGCTGCCTCCCAAGTTTCATAACTCATCGCTGTCTGCAAGTGTAACCTGTATCTCGATGGTACAAGCTAAAATAGGGCAGTATGTGAAAAGTCAAGACTCCTGCAACGTGCTTTCCAAATATTCTTCTTTGTGAGATGAATCTGCTGATACTACTTCGATGAGCGATAGAGTTCCTGGCAAAAGATCACTGCTCGGTAAAAGTGGGCTAAAAATTTCGAAATTTTACATTCTAATGTATTTACTTCTAAATAAAAAATATTTAGACCATAAATCACAGAATAGTGCAGGGAACTTCGCATGAACTTCCTAGAATAGAGTTGTGTGAGCTTAATAGCAGTTGGGAGTCAGGAGATGATTGGACGCAAAATTCATTCTCTTGGCTAGCTTTCCATTTAAATGAGTTCTAGCTTTTCTTGCGGCTTAAAAGTTTTGTATTTGAAATGATTGCTGCTGGAACAATCAGGATGCAAGCTAACTGCAGGTAATGATAAGTGGTACATCGAATCAGAGCCGTCTAGTACTTCAGGACGGTATTTGCCGCTTCGAAAACAGCAATCAGTTCATGGTATGCGAATTAAATTTGCTGATTTTATTTTGGAATTCTAAAATCAGAAAAAAAAATTTTTTTGGTTACTGCGACTCCCCAGCATCTCTAATATTAAGGATACCAAGATCTCCTGAATCCTATTAGCAGTAATTTGGTTGGGTTGTTCCCTCATCTTGGGCGCAATTATGCTAGGCTCTTTCACGTTGAAAATCATACATTTAGTGACTTATTCACCGCCTTTTCAGCATATTTGCATCGCCTCTTCGGGATGCGGCCGGAGTGTTTATTTTCCCTCTTCGCGGATAAAAACTTAGTGATTCGATTGTTAGCAAGACGAGCGTCATCCTCTGCTCATCAAACTTTACTTTCCCACATTTTCACAATTATATCCTGCACACTTCTCATCTGTCAGAGATCCTGATTATTTAAATGTCCACGAAACAGCGTTCCAAGCATCTTCCACGGCATTATTTTCACCACCACAACTAGCTGTTTTTTTTCGGTTACATTTCGCATCCGCATGACACTACCTTCAGCATAATGATATTGCAAGGTCATTCTTGTTAGGCTTTTAAGGGCGTTTGCGACACTGTGTTGCTCTTATCAGCGACCCTTCAATGCGCAATGTTCTGAAAGTAATGGCATACTTTTTCTTACTAGCAGATAAATGGTGGTGAAATACCAAGTCGTAAGAAAGATTCGGCTCCCAATAAAATGCGCTAATTATGCGCTTTTGCGGTGTAGCGCTATAACACTGGAATAACCAATAACCGAGGCTGAAAAGCACCAGGCTTTTTTGCACACTTTCCTGCAGATGTTTAATGCTATTGCTGATACGATATGTGCTCGCGTTAGCTTTATTCAGTGTCTTTTACGCTGACGCTGGTATTCACACGGAAGCAATGAAGTGTTCCTTTGGTAAAATCAGTGGCGGCGCGCACGGGGCAGGCCCGCGTGATCATGCGTTTTTGCAATATTTCGTGTTGTAATGAAATCGCTCTTAAACCCAGTAGAGCTAGAAATGTGTGAAATACTGGTCCTTGAAGTCCAGCAAGTAACTAGTTTACACGGTATTTGGGCAGGGAACATTTCGTTGAAATTTCAGCTTCCCAAAGCAATTTTCCTGCCAAACACTTTTACTGGGCCGTACGTGGCAAACCGGTTGGGTTTGAGAAATTTAAGTCATACACGGGCTGGGAACATTCCCTGGAAATTTCAGCACTCCAGCTCTCCTTGTTCTTGAGTTAGCGATTCTCGCGCCAGGAATCGTCACGGGGCTATGCGCGGGAACCACGCACAATGGGGTCTAAATTTGAAATCGTTGAGTTCAGTGTAGACGGGGGAAATAACTTCAAAACTCCAGCTTTCTAGCTTTTCTGGTTCCCGAGTTAGCGACTCTCCCGCCAAAACTTTCACCCCCTCGCATGCAACGCCTAGAATTGTGCAAAGGTTGGTACCGCGGTCCTGGAACGACACTTGGCCAGGGAACTCACCTGCAAAATTTTGGCGTCGAAGTTTGCTTGGGTGCCGAGTAAAAATATCCGAACAGACACACACACACACACACACACACACA